TTAATAGTGCTGTCAATTGAAAAAGTGTGAATCAATCACCTCTCTTAAAATTTGTTAAACACTGTTTTACAGGGGTTTGAGAAGACAGTATGCCATTCTAAAAAAGGCCCTCTTCACCAATTCTCATCTGATCTAATTGTCTGTTTATGAAGTGGATGTTCATCGAAATCAGGCATTTCATTACCTGACTTTAACTGTTTGAATTATCATACCTACATATAGTCAGGAGTCCCGTTCTTGTTTGAGATGTTCTTCCGATAAAGTTTTATTCACTAGATAAGTTTAGAAGGTATATGATCTAAACAGTTTAGCCGGAATATCAAGAATCGACGACTGCTATGCATTAACACATTCTAGTACGAAATTACCGACATATTTTTATGGCCGTTCCAAATTGCTTGCATTTTCTAACATAGGCTGAACAACGGTGTTTGCCGAACCATTAGACTGAGGAGGACGTGAGGATGAAAGCAAGTAGTGAAATCTTATGCTACCTAAACAACTATTAGATTGTCAATTACTGATACATTGAATGTTTCTTAGACGTAAATTTAACAGCTTTGTGCTGGTAATAATAAATATGTTTTTTTATACCTCAATAAGTAGAAACATTGTATTGCTGACGTTTTGTGACTTCATCCTAGCCACTTCAGAGTAAATAACGTAAATTAAGTTAACGCAAATATGAATATTACAAATAAACAATGCAGAACGTTTTTAGGACAATCGAAATCAAAATAGGTATGAATATTATTTATTTATTACTAACTATCTGCCTAATGCTCAATTTACCTGAGGCTATCAAGTCCAACCTTAGTATTGGTACTTGTATACTTATTAATAATAAGATGAAATTATCCTAGTGAGAATGTAACTGGTGCAATCATCGAATATTCAGTAAATGTTGTCTGACCAATAACATTATTATCAGATATCTGATTATTAAACCACTAGAACGTTTGTGGCTCAATGTGCAGAAAATCTTATTTTCTACTTATTGGGACGTTGAAAATATATCATTTTATTTATGTTATTCAGTAAATAGCAATCCTAATGATAATTCCTGGGTTGGTGCCGTAGTTTTAAAATTACCGCCAGGGTACGACAGAAGAATTACAACGGATGTTAAATATATACAAAATTAAAACTTTCTATAAGACAAATGACATTTCGAGAAATGCTTTAGTTAGAATTAAGGTAAGATCCCGTTTACTTCTACCGAAAAATTCTGTCTACAGATCAGATTGTGTCGATTGTGATGTGCTATATATTGAAGAGTCTTCCCGTGAGATCCCAACTCGTGCCGAGAAATACTCAAGTTACACAAAAAAACCTATTCATAATCCTGTAGAATTGGAAAATTTACAAGATAAATCAGTAACAGCAGTACATAATATTCCGAACAATCACCAAGTTGATACAAAAAATATCAAAATATTTAAGAAACGATTTTCTAACCTAACCAATATAGCCGAAGCATTTCACACTATTCTAAATCCCTCTGCCTTGAATAGGAAAGGTCTGAATATTCATCCAACCAGGACTGTTTTTCCAAACAACCACATCTGGTTTCACGTTTTACTATATTTACACAAACGAACACATGGTCTCAACGCACTACTTCATTTCACAAATGCTTACATTTTTCATACCCACAACCTGACACACACACTAATGCATTGACAGGCCACACAGATTCATATTGACCAAAACTAATTTACATTAACACACTCAGGCCTAAGATGACTTTGTTCGTAATAAAAGTATGATACATTGTTTCCTTTGCACTATTTAAACTGGTATTGACTTAATTCAGGCTATTTATTTAATCTGAAGTGGTTTAAATGAAGTCACGAAACGTCAGGAATACAATAATTCTACTCACTGGGATATAAAGATAAAAAGCCCTATTTATTAGAAACTGCCAAGTTTTGTGCTGTCTTTGTTCTTTAAATTCATTTCGACCTAGATGGGATCAGGGACATTCATTTTGCCTGTAACTTTTATCCTTGGTATCTTTCTCGCAATGACGTTTCTTATTCCCTATTGTGATCCTGTTTTATTTTATCACTGGATTACAGAAGCTGCATTATTGAGAGACCGCAGTTTCTGATCATCACTGTTCGATAGATTGACTGGAATAATCTTGGGGGTTGCTGATAGAGGAATGAGTTGCTGTTAAAAACATTGATTACCTATTTTCTAAGTGAAATGACTGAAATATTAATTATGAAGCACCCTTAGGTGATAGGGCCACCGTTTGTTCCCTAGGAAGCAAATATTTACGACCTATTTGAAGATTTACTTACTTAACGTACTTTGGAGTTCATCACATAGCTTTTTGAGATGCTGTCATTTAACTTGTCTAGGTATTTCCAGCAGTTTGTAGTTGTAATCGAAATGATTAGAACCGAGCCCATTCCAAAACTAGTGTCTTAAATTTTTCTGCTGGCAAGAGCTGATATTCTTTTCACTGATGTTTACACCAGTCTAAGAGACTTTAAACCAACAGCGGATGGACCGTATCCACTAACAGGGAAACGGAAATTAGCAAGTTTATCTGCTTACGTCATTAGTGAAATTTCAACGACACAATAATCGAAGGCTTATGAGTAGTGATAATAGTTAAATTGCGCACTGGCCTGTCCCGCTCTAACGTGGTACCAGGTCACCTCGATTACACACTACTCTTGGAAAGCTGATGAAATATTTTAAGATCTGTTGCAGATAACAATCCATAGAGAGGTTATTTACAAGAGGCTAGTGACCTGCCACATGCACCACAAGTATTTCTCTGGGTAATCACTCCAAACTGACCACCCTGACTTCTAACACTAATTACTAAACGGGTAATCTGGTCAGGGATCAGAAGCAGTTTACTGACGCTGCAGTTTTTTCTACTCAGTGTTTCAGACCAGGTTTTCCAATCTTATTGGTCTGAGTGTCAAAACTAATCTATCTGTACCCTGAGTAGCGAGAATAAAGCTCGATGGATCTAAAGCTCAAAATAAAGTGGAAACCAGAAGAATCGTGAGCCTCATGACCCTCTTTCACATCAGACGAGAGGTTGATTTCATTACAAACCTTCAGATCACTGTCAGAACATAAAACAAGTCCTCAAACTCGAAAGCACTAATCAAGTTAGGAAAAGTAGTTACGTAAATCAATGAGCCGTGTACACGGCTGAATACTCTAAACAAACTTGAACTTAATTAGAAAGGATAACCTTTAACAAGAACATGAAGGAACACTAGGTAGGCTGCTAAGAAATTAACTACAATTCGCCACTTTCTCCTTACCTTCGTTTCAATAAGCGGACTAAGAACGAAGATCTACTGTATGCTACTAAGAAGCCAATATTAGAAATCTTAAGACTCTTTAGTAATGGACAGAGTACTTATGTACTTAGATATCAACAGCCTAGTGATATTGTTTGCATTACTCACTACAGAAAGACTATGGTAATAAGTGACAGGAACGATGATTCTTTCTTTGCACGAAATCATATATTTGAGCAAACGATTGAAAGTACAACATTTATCAAAGGACTGAGACGAGGAAAACATTTACCGTTCTGGTGGTTTCTTCTAATTTGCCCAAGCACACGTGATTGGCAGACATAATCAATTAAGAAAAACAAATCCAAAGTGCAAGAGGCCATGGCAGTAACTAAAGGTTTTTAAAAACGGTATCTCAAAAGTTTAGTAAACCTCAGATTTAATTCGCTAATCTCTCTACGACAGAACAATTAACCATCCGGAAAGCTTTCCTGATTTGAAAAGTGTGATAGTTATTGTTGAAATTATTTACGTTACTAGATTAGTGATGACAATTTCAAACAATTAAATCACCATTGTTTGACTGTCTAATCCATATGATTTATCGTGGCGACTAGGCTTTACTTTTACTGAAGAACATTTGAATAACAATTGTAACCTTGTCGGCGTAATAAAATATTTATTATGAAGGAGAAAGGGGCTCGAAGAAGTGCGGATTCCACAATGTCAGGTCACATAGTCTCAATAATTATCACGTACCAACGTTTCTAGAACCCGTCCACTTCTAGACAACCATTCAACATCCATTAGATAAACTTCCAGGGTAGGCACATTCAGCACGAAAGATCATTTGAATAGGGGTGAATGCTAGTCCACCGTCACTAAAACTTTAAAACACAGAAACTGAGTGGAACCTTGGAATCTCTAAACGTTGACATCACTATAGACTAACTAATCTAAATTTCTTATCATCGTCATGAGGAAAGACAATAGAACCTAGTTACTGTCTTAAAATTACCTAATGATGATTTCAAATTGATATGCTCCCGTTGTTATACATTTAAAGACTGGAAACGTGAGGAAACACAAAAAATATTCACAATCCTTGAATAAGCTTCTTTCCAAATGACCAACAGGATCTGTATCTGGTTCTAAATCTCATCCACTTTCAGTATAAACACATAGTAACGATAGTTTTAGTACACCTAACCAAAGTAGGCGCAACTCCTTTGGTGGATAGATTCAGGGAAAAATCGAACAGCCAAGTATTGTCATTTACAACTTGATCTAGTTGTACCTATAGCATGTCTTACAACTTATTCGCTATTATTATTAGCCCGTAGTATGAGACTATTTCGACCCATATCACTTATAAGCTGTATTTACCAGCTATTCACATACTTCTGTTCGTTAAAATTATGGAAATAACCAATAAACTTATTAATCCACTTACTTCTGCCCTTTCGTCTCCTCTTTGTTCTTGCGCATTCGAATTCTTTCATTATTTTTCATGCTGCAACTAACCAACCCATTCCTGGAAATGTGATTGCTGGTGGTTCCAGAAACGCTATTGCCTCGTGCTAAGTGCATTCACTCAGGTTTATAGACACACAAACCTAAAAATAATAACGAAGAGGACCGTAAACGGTACAATCGACTGGTTGTACGACTCCCTCTTTGACTACACCAAAGATCTGGAACCACACAGAAACAAAAACAGAAGGGAGAACAAAAATATCGTCCGGTTTACACCAGCTCTTCAAAAAGATATTGGGTATAGGAAAATTCTTAGTTTTTCCTGCCTTTATAATTACAGAACTAAGGTCATTTCTTAAAATAACCTAATGTTCAAGGTTTCTGGTTCAGCCATCAAACAATGACTCGCAGTTGAAATATTTACTGATTAGTCGTGTTTTCTACCCATTGTATTGCGCATTTCTATTTTCCATCATAAAGATCAATACACAGAAAGTTAACGGGTATTTGGTCCTTGGGTAGTGTGTTCAGAGCTTCTGTACGTGAATGGCTGTGACGCCTTTCTTCAGTTTGCGCAACTTAGTCCTGAACAAGTGCAACAATTTTTTACTTCCTGGTGAGTTCAGTGTAGAACCAAATGCCTACGTCCCTACTTTATTTCTAATTATTACGTACAACAGAAATGACTTATCACTTATTTGAGCCCCATCAAACATTCGTGTGTAGCGTACCATATGGCATGCAGCTGTAACTACGTAGCCATGGTCGCTGTTATTTACACAATATATCCTTATGTTTATTTTATGATAGCTATCCTTTCAAAACACAGTTTATTGGTCATTTGATCGAATAAACTGGTCCGTCGTGAACAAATAATACATTCATTAAACTGTTCTTTGGGTTTTGTTTCGTCCAGTGTTGAAAAAAAATTTGGCAAAGAACAAATAATGACTGTAGCTGGTATACGTTTTTTAAAGCTTTTCTATATGGTCTAAGCGAGTTGTGTGGGGCTATTAAGTACCGTGTAGGACAAGCGATACATATTCTTAGTCTCATTAATTTCTTAACTCAAAGTTGACGTGGTTGAATATATTGCAGCTAAACTAAATGTGATTGTTCTGCAGTGTAGTCCCTAATGAAATGAACTATAATCCGTAGGGATTTATCTTGTTTTGAGGTAACTGGCGTGCATTTGATCAGCTGTTAACTTTTCTGTTATTCGGCAGTTCTTACCAGAAGTTAGTTCTATTCAGCTAGTCCTATTCACCTTTATTCTCTAGTGATTGGTTAATAAATCAGACATATAAGACAATCTCGGTCTATCACAATAACAAGCTTTTAAGTTTTTTGCCAAGCAGCAGTAATAGGCTTTGTGTGAACTTATTCTGATACCGCTCTACAAAATACACCATATGTGTATTGGAACGAAAAAGCATCATAAGGTCTTATGTCGGCGGCAGACCAGGTTTCACATGTACTACATATTTAGGACAGGCAGTTTGTGAATTACGAGATTAATGATACAGTTTGACTTGTTGGTAAGTAGATAAGTAGCCTAGAGCGATTAGTCTTCAGATATTGTGGTGTCTGTCATGCGTAAGTATTCAACAAGTACTTTACTCAATACTGTTGTTCAGTTTTAAAAAAGTGAGTGAGCAGAGACTAATAAGATAATTTCATGACTAAACCTAGCAGCTGTGGTTTGTATTTCGTTTACCTGATGTTTAGTTCATATCTTGTTATTTTGCTTCATTTACCGTCTTATTCTACTGTTTTTCAACACCTTTTGTGGCTGCTGCTTTTATTGAATTGTTACCCTTCAACCAGTTTTCTCTGAAAGTAATATTGGTAATTCGATCTTGTAACAATTTTCAAGTTGTCCAGTCTATCTATTCTTTTCCATGTCTAGTAGTCCGGGTAACATTGTGAGGGGGCTTCTAGTTACGTCTCCTGAAGAAACAAACTTTTGTGCTTCTGATATTTGCGTTGAGTATATCCTTTACTCAACTGTGTATGGATTATTACAAAGGTCTCAATTCAGATGCAAAGTTTGTAGCTGGAATTCATCGATTTACTTTGATGCCATATGGACACGGTACCCAGCTGTTCATTTAATAGTGAACGGTGTATCAATGAAACCAACTATTTATGCTTCGACAAATTAAAACCTTAGTTATCCAGGTTATTAGTGTTTGAATTTCAGCGATATAATTATTAGTATTATGTGAAAGTTCATGTCAGGATTGTAGGCATTGCAATCTGACTGATGATCTTCCCGATCTTTATAAATGACATGGTTGAAATATGTTGCTCTAATTAGATCTGAGGTAGAATGAAGCTTCAAATGTGTCGAACTACGTTCTTCGGTTATTAGCTTTGGCTACGGGTAAACATGAACTGGTAAATAGCTGAAATTATTGGAATCAAAGAAGTCAGTGATTGACTACGGCAAATCACATATTTTGAAATTAATCCTACTGACTTTTACGTGTCATCATCCTTGAAATGTTTTGACTTTTCGTCTTTTTTCTGTATTCAATTCTCTCCCTTATCACTAGATATTAAAATGTAATTTTAAAACAGATGAACCCCCCAAGATGTAAATTACTTGTGATGACTTTTGTTGTGTAGGTCAATTGATAGGTTTTCACGTTTGCTCTCAGGGGTGCAACTCGTGTTTTAATTCAAATAACTTGTGGAGCACTTTCTATGGATTAGGTATATTAATTATAGGGATTGTCATAGTATTTCTGTGATATGCACTTAAATTTCGTTTTGTAACTTTAACTACTTATATCATACTTAATTTTTGACCTAAGGTTTGAGATTTCTGTTTCCTTAGGTTTTCTATGGCTTTATAGGGTTCTACTTGCGTGAAACACTGTTACTGATTAATACGTCTATGGTTTGATGAATGATGCTATTTAAAAACTGACTTGTAAGTAACCAGACTTAACAGTTTTTATAGTTTCACTGCTGTCATGTCTTATCTAAAATTTCATAAAGGAGTATATCTGGATAGTTAGTGTAACTTTTTGTTGGGGTAAACATTTTGGTCTTTGTTGTTTTGTTAGGGTTCAAAACTGAGTTATTTTGTAATGCTCAGTTCTGTGGTTCCTTCAGTGTTTTAATTAATAGTCGTTTGTTTAAATTACTTAACTGTGTTATGATAAAGTTGTTATCAGAGAGATGATTCATTAGGTGAATTTAATTTGTGATAATCCTTATATTGTACTCCTTAACCTCCAGTGTAATTCATGCTAGTCATTTATAAGAATTTAACGGTGCACCAAGTCCTAGGTTGAATGTGAGTACAATGGCATTAACTAGTTAAACATATTCTATTTACTTCCATTAATTTCAGTTAAAATATAGATCATCTGGAAAACCTAGTCTTCGGCATTCCTTTCACACTCGTGTAATAATTACAACTGATTTAAATAAAGAAAAAGTTACGATTTCAAATATGAGCCGACTATGGTATTTTAAATAATATTTTTGGACATAAGGTAATATTTTCGCAAAATCTTCCCCAGAAAGTTATGTGTCCTCCCCCTAGTGTGAAATAAAATGATTAAATATCTTTTTAAAGGTCTTATTGGATACTTTGATTGAGTTTATTATTGAGCACAATTCTAGTCACCGAGTTTCTGTTCATTTCATTCTCCCCATATATTGTTTGTTTGCATTATATATTCTTCAAGGATCATCCCGAGATAAATGCTACAAGTTTCTGCTCGATGGCTACTTTGTCGGATTCATTCACCCAATGTTTTTGGATTGGCTATTGAAATATGCAAACGTTTTTGTGAAGACTTCTCATCCGCAACACGGTGATCATTGTATTACAGTGCACCAGGCCTTAATAAATGTGAACGACCGTAGCAATGCAGTGGCAGAAGTAATGCAAGACTTGCGAGCCACAAGTCCTTTCAAGGCTCTAAAAGGGTGGAGAAACGAGGTAAGTTATTTGTTCTAGATGCCCTTGTTGGTCTTTTTTAATTTTATAGGCCTGAGACACCTCAGAAAGATTGAAAAAATATTTCCGAACAATTATAGTCTTCGGTAAAGACTTTTTGTAACCTGTCCACTTCTTTAGCCTGTTCTTAGTATGACCTGAGATTTCCTATGGTGATTCCATTTTATTTTAATTACCAGACCTATATAAGGTATGTCGATTGATTACTTAACTGTGTGGTTCACCACTTATTGGTTAGTTATCACTGATATGTAGTGATACTAAACCATTGGGTTTGTGGTTTCTTTCACTGAAGTTTTATATGATATACACTTTCTCGTTCTTTCTACTTTTTATGCACTATGAATTACTTTATGCCTGAATCTTTTGAATACAGTTCCGTAAGAAATAAATAAATTTGTAATCATATCACTATTTGAATTCATAATCACTTCCCGTAGTTGTTATGTGGATATTAATTAAATCGAAATTTAGTCACTACAAACCATATAGTCTTTCTATACGTTATTAATGCAGAAGATTAGATGATCCATGTAAGCTATTGATTTTGAGTAATTTTCCTATATGCCTATATATTACTGTTCTGTCATAAATCAAAGTTTCACTTATTAGGTATTGTGTTTCATCTCTCAATTACTTGTCTTTCTAGAAAAATGCTTTGAAAAGGACCTTTGACTTATGTTTTTACTTTTAACAAAATTGCTGTTCTGCATAGTTTATAGCTGTGCTATAATATAATGATACTTACTGACAGTCATTTAATTGCTACTCAACTAACTTCATACTTCGAAACCGGATCAAAGCCTCGTTACGTGGAAAGTTCAAAAATGTATTTGGTTGATCCATTTATAACAGATAAAATGAGCTTCAAATCTCTGACGCAGTAAATAAAAGCTGCTTAAACAACTAGGATACAACTTTACATGAACTAAATGATTTTATCTAAACATTAATACTTAAATTTGAAGTAACGAATGAAGCTCCCACAGCTTGTAAATGTAGAATTAAGCACCATGGTCAGGTGCATTACTGTCTAGATATTTGATTAATAGACAATTGTATGGAATTACGCTAATAGGCTAAATTTAGGTAATAAGTCTCAGCAGTTTAATCGATAAGGTAGTTAACTAGTACCAGTTTAATAAGCTTATATTGCGGCAAATCATTTGAATACTTGTTCAAAATAGTACCTTCCTGATTTTTGCCTACATATCCATAAATATTTTGTTGTTATTATTAAATGTATGTAAACGGTTATTGATTTATTGGTTTCAAAATAGGACTATGGCGTTTACATTCATAACCGTGAAAAAGTATTATTAAGAATTGAACGTTCAGCATCGAGTCTTCTGGGTATTACACGATATGGTGTACATGTAAATGGTTTCTCCTTAAATCGATACAACTACTCTAAAAAGTCTGATCGAATTGTTAATGGCAGCTCACATAATTCCAATGATTCTAATTCACTCGCTCAAATTGATCCGGACAATGTTTTTATGTGGCTCGGTCTACGATCAATAAACAAACCTACATCTCCTGGAATGCTCGATAATATGGTAATTGAATATATATATATATATATATATATATATATATATATATATATATATATAAATTTTAAAAATATATTTTTTCAACTGAAAGTTGGTTCCAGAATTATATTGTAATCTCTCCACAGTCTAGTTTTATCACTAGGATAATATTTTAAACTGATTACGTAACTGTTGGCTCATGGCATCACAACATTCTGTTATCGAGCTGCGCCTCAGTAGTTTAGGTTTCCAACATTTTGCCGCTACTGATTTGCGGATTAGAAACCCGTTTCACCTACATTGGTTAGAACGATCTGATAGTATCCCTAATCATCACACTTAAAGTGTGGCTCGGAGTTAAGTACACTAATTTGTACCTGGTAACCAAGCTAAAAATTATTTCAATCGCTTCAAATTTTTTTAGTGTGGAGCCTGGTTTTAAAGTTCTTTACTCACTTACTCCTGTTACCCCTCATGAATGAACATAGGCCGCCCGCCAGCATTCTTCATCCAACTCTGTCCTGGACAATCCTTTCCAGTTGTTTCCAGTTGCTACTCATCTTTTTCATGTCTGCTTTCAATTCCCGACGCAGCGTGTTCTTTGGCCTTCCTCTTTTCCGTTTTCTTTCAGGATTAAAACTTAAGGCTTGCCTCGTGATGCAGTTTGGTGGTTTTCACAATTTATGTATCATCCATTTCCGACGTCTTTTCCTAATTTCCTCCTCATCTGGAAGCTGATTTGTCCTCTCTCACAGTAGGTTGCTGCTGATGTTATGTGGTCAACAGACATTCAGTATCTGGAGTAGACAACTGTTTATGAATACTTGTACTATTGTGATGATGATTGTGGTAGTTCTGGAAGTTTCGGCTCCGAACAGTAGAACTGTCTTGACGTTCGTATTGAAGATTCTCACTTTGATATTGTTGACAGTTTCTTTCAGTTCTGTATGTTTTACAACTCTAGGAATGCTGTCCTTGCTTTGCTAATCCATTCATTTACGTCTGTATCCGATACTCCTTGTTCATCGATGATTCTGAGTGGGTACGTGAATGTTTCCACATCTTCCAGAGTTTTTCCATCAAGTGTGATTAGGTTGGTGGTCTCCATGTCATATTTGAGGACCTTGCTTTTTCCCTTGTGTATGTTTGAGGTCTACTGATTCAGAGGCTGCTGCTACACTAGATCTCTTCATTTGCATATGTTTGTGTTAACGGGATAGAAGAAATAGGTCATCTGCAAAGTCCATATAATCTATTTGCATGCAAGCTGTCCATTGTATTCTGTGCTTCCCGTCAGATGTTGAGGTCTTCATAATGCAGTCAACCACCGGAAGAAAGATGAAGGAGCAGAGTAAGCAATGTTGTCTCACTCCATTCCTCACATGGAATGCATCTGTCAGTTGTCCTCCATGCACCATTTTGCAGTCTAGTCCATCATTTGAATTCCATATGATGTTGAAGATTTTCTCAGCCACATCATAGTTTCGAGGAAGGTTCCATAAGGTTATTCTATCCAAACTGTTAAATGCCTTCTCATAATCAAGGAAGTTGATGTACAGTGACGAGTCCCATTCAATTGATTGTTCTACGATGATTTGTATTGTTGCGATTTGGTCGATCCTTACATGATCCGGTTTTTTGATCTCGAAGTTGGGTGTCTACTGAGTCTTTCATCCGGTTCAGCGACACTGTGTTGAAAACTTTCCCTGGTACCGACAGTAGTGTGATGCCTCTATAGTTCTCACCTTTTCTCAAATCTCCTTTATTTGGTATCTTGATGAGGTTTCCTTCTCTACAGTGTGTCGGTGGCACTTGTTCCTCCTCCCAAATCTTCTTGAACTATGGGTGAAACATGTTTGCAGTTACCTCATTGTCTGACTTTAATGCTTTAGCTGATATATTATCAGGTCCTACTGCTTCCTCACGCTTGAATTGTCTGATGGACATCCTGATTTCTTCGATCGTTGGTGGAGTGAGATCTATAGGAAAATCTGTGTATGCTGCTTCGATATCCGGTGGATTCAATGGTGCTGGCCTATTCAAGAGTTCCTCAAATTATTCCACTCATTTGTTCCTCTGTTCTTGAATTTCAGTGATTGTCTTGTCTTGTTTGTCCTTGACCAGTCTCTCTGATAAACTATATTTCCCTGCCAGTTTTTTCGTTGTCATATAGTTTTTTTAATGTTTCCTTCTTGCGGCTTTATCCGCTGTCGCTGCTAGATCTTCCACATATTTCTATTTGTCAGCTTTAATGTTCCTCTTCACTTGTTTGTTTGATTCTGCATATTCGGCTTGTGCCTTGACCTTTTCTGATCGTGTTCGACTGTTGCTAATTGCTGTCTTCTTGTCCTTCGTTTCTTGGATCTTGTCCAGTGTTTCGATAGAGATCAATTTCTTATGACGATGTTTGTTATGGCCCAGCACCTCCCGACGCTTTAGAGTTAATGCTTCTTTGATCCCTTCCCAGTTGTCCTCCATTGTAGTTTTTTCTTTCAGTAGATCCTGTAAGGTTTGGAACCTGTTGCTGAGAATTATCTTGAATTTGTTAAGTTTGTTAGTATCTCTTAAGAAAGCTGTATCGAACCTTTGTACTGCTGCCCCCTAGATTTCCAGTGTTTGTTCAGCTTGAGTTTCATCTTGGCTGCAGTCAGGTGGTGGTCTGAAGCTATGTCAGCTCCTCTCCTGGTTCTCACATCTTCCATTGTCCTTCTGAATTTTTTTATTGATACAAATATGATCTATCTGGTTTCCTCTGGTGTGATCCGGTAAAATCCATGTAGTTTTGTGTATACGTTTGTGTGGGAATATTGTGCCTCCTATAACCAGTTTGTTGAATGCACATATATTTAAAAATCTCTCCCCAATTTCATTTCCCTCTCCCAGTCCATGTTATTCGATTATATCTTCATATCCTGTGTTTTCCACTCCGACTTTAGAGTTTTGATCTCCCATCAGGATGGTGAAGTCGTTTCTTGAGCACTTCACTGTGATTGATTGCAGCCTCTCATAGAACTGATCTTTATTGTCGTCTTTGCTATCATTGGTGGATGCATAACATTGGATAACATTCATTGTGATTCCCTCCTTTGAATTGAAGGATGCTTTGGTAATTCTGGGTCCATTAGGTTCCCACCCTATAAATGCTTTTTGTGCTTGTTTTGACAGCATCAGAGCAACTCCCTGTGTATGTGGAGCATTTTCTTCTTCGTGACCATAGTACAGTAACATTTCTTCCTAGTCTATCCCTTTATGTCTAGTTTGAGTCCGATGGATCCCACAGTTACTAAGCACCATCAAGTTTTATCTCCTCATTTTCACAGCTATTTGATCTGTTCTCCCGGTCTCATACATTGTCTGAACATTTCATGTACCTATGAAAATTATTGCTCTTGTAGTTGGAAGGAGTATCGGCCTCGTGACTTCCGAAGAATCTCGGCTTTCACAATGAGTTGTCATAATTCTTCTGAATGTAAATCCATCAACTCTGAGGACAGAGTTTAAATGGTTCAAGTTGTTTATTCTGAGTAGCGTTTTTTAGCAAGGTTATTTTCTATGGGATGGGGTTCTCGACTCCATGCCCAACCCTCCACCCTTGCATGGGCTTGTGACAGACAGTAACCCTAGAAGACCTACAAACACAGTTTTTTAAAGTTAAAAAAAACAAATATTTTTTGATATATCATATTTAGTATACTTTCAAATGAATTATCTTAAATAAAACAGGTAGGTCACTTTCTAAGCATTGGCTATCTCTTGCAACTAATAGTTAGCACTTAAACCTGTACTTATCAACTCAGTATTTGTAATCATGCAGTAAATACATCATATATATATATATATATATATATATATATATATATATATATAATCACAAACGTCAAGACACTCAGGTATAATTAATACGACTACCTTGTTTAACTATATTGAGTAAAACAATGCGATTTCTTTAACCACTCGTCTCAACAGTAATTACTGACTAACTATTATCAAGTATTTCAATAACTGGTTGAACAATAAATTAATATACATGGATTGTATGCTTTTTCATGTATGCTTCATAATTTTCCTTCCGTTTTATTTTCCACCGTAATATACTGTGTGAAATATTCTGTTGCGCTAGATTTTATAAGTTGATAACAGAAACATCTAAACAAGGTTATTCTCTACTCAAATCAACCAACAAGTATATTTCCTTTTTATTAGATACAATTAATAATTTTACAAAACCTTCGAATATATTGTATATGTTTAGCAATTGGTGTCAAATCAATAATCATAGTATTCGTTTGAATAAGTTGTTCATTTTCACGATGTGTGTAGGTCTTAATGCTCTAGATTATAAACACGTGTTTTTAGTAAACATTCGTTATTGGCTGGCGCTGGAATCCAGGCCGTATGTTTCAGCTTATTTAAATTTACTAGTTCAGTATATAACCCCTTGGATACTACCCTTAAATCAGGGTCTGAAAAGTCAAGAAAATGAAAATTTCGCAAAGGCGATGAAAATGATGTTGGTGGTCTTATAATAGTATTCCAACACGATAAAATGGGTTTTAAGCGTTCTTTAAGCCCTAACACTTCAGGTTGGGTTATTTTGCTTACTACCCTGTAAATGTGTTGTATGTAGTATAAGCTATATTGCTATGTAGAGCGGAAGGTCTCTTATGAGATTAGAGGTTCTCAATTGATATTCTGGATGGTTCGGCATTACTTTGGAAGGTTTTGCTGACTGTTCATACTCATATTTGGTTTTCTGGTTAACCGATTTCTTTCATACTGGTGGTCGCTTTTCAGTCTTTCCAAGGGCGATTGTCATTGGGACGTTGTATGGCATATCATCATTGCTAACATTAATGAGTTGGAATGTCATGTAAGCGGAATAGGTCAACTTTGGTCTGTTCGTGCTGTGCATAATTGATTTACGGGATCAATGATCAGAAGTCATACATATGATGTATATGTGTATGTAAATAGTGCGAATGGTCCACCAGAGTGCTGGTACCTGTGGTTGCACCACGTGAAAGTCTGGATGGTGTACGATTCTCATGAAAACTAATCTAAAATTACTCTAGCCCACAAGGGTATATTATATAACTTATATTATATCAATAACAACTTGAAATTAAAAGTAGAAAGTTACTGGGTTTGAACCGTAGTATAAACATTAATGCTGGGATGCAAGTACATATCCAGTTGTCAAGTCCCGAATAGAGGGAAACATACATTGATTCCAATGGTAGCCACAACCCAATTTTGTTAAAACTAATCGACTATGTGGCAGTACAGAGGCAATCCACTAACATGCATATACATCATTTGTGACTGACCAGTTACAGTTCTTGTCATCACCAATAGGAAAACAAAATCATTTACAAAAAATAAACATTTTTGTTTAGCAACTCGTCATTTGGCTAATACCCGAAAATAGAGAATAGTATAAATTATTAATAATTGAACTAATTCAAAACTATCTACATTCAGCCAAATACAACGTAGAACCTGTTACATGTATACATTGGTTTAAATTGTCATACATCAGAAAGAAAGTTTATGTTCATTCAACTAAATATTAGTTCCTTCGTAATAAGAAATACGGTTTTGTGTAAAATACGACATCCTAGTAGAAAGTTTAATAAATGGCGATAGTCATAAGATGTCACCCGTCTCTATATTTTTATAAATCAGTTGGGTAGTGGGTTACTGATTTTACAATTTGTGCTCGATCAACATGTCCGAAGTGCAAATTCTAATCCACTTACTTCCTTTCGCAGTCAGTCAAACACAACGTAGAACCTGGTACATATATACATTGGTTTAAATTGTCATACATCATTAGCACAGCGATATGAAATTATTAAGGCAATTCATAGAGTAGTAGAGGTATTAACAGTATTAATGGTAGTAGGAAAGATTAGGCACCAAAGATACGATCCAAGAAAATACAAATTAGTGAAATAAACAAAACTTGAGGAATTCATAAGCTTAGGATCTCGAGGAAGACAAAGAATGGATACATCCGTGCGGTTAAAAACGATCTTCATTCCACTTTTCTAACCACTGGTTACGACAACCCGACCAGATGGTCTATACTTGAAAACACGGCTCAATCCAAATATCTTCGACTCTATGAACTGATGTCACTTCCTTGTTTTGCCGTCTCTGATTTTCTTCCGACCTACCCCTACCTACGTAACACATGTCCCAACCACATCAGTTGGTGAAGTTTTGCTGCCTCGCTAACATGTCTGCCATGTTTAACTAGTACTATATTCTTTAATCTGGAAATGCTTGCTTAGTTGTCCAAAAATGTACAGATGACACTTCAAAGACATCTATGAAAAAATACTAGTAACCCACGACTATCATTTTTTTAATGACCATGCTTCATATCTATAAAGTATAACGGAGAAAACTGTTGCACAGTAATCTCATTTTTGGTTGACAGATGGATATATCACCTATGCCACAGGTGATGCAAAAGCCGATCCAGCTTTCTGAATCCATGCCAATATTTCGTCAGCAACCAGCCCATCATGACTGATGAGACTTTAAAAGTAAGTGATATGGTCAATACACTCAACTACCTCATTCGCTATCGTTAATTTAGGTGCTGGCGCAATTCAATCGTAAATCAAAATTTTGCACCTGGTGGGAAAGTATGTGCAAAAAGGGAAGTACTCATGAATTTGAGAGCTTAGACTTTTTCAAACATTTTTAGAAATTTTTTTCAGAAAGATAGGTTTGTTGAATATTTCCATAAAAAGTCAGTAATTTTCTGTGCGACTTAGATGCTTATCACAACGTTGTATAATTAGGTAAGAGATTATTAACTAATTACATAACATAGTTTCATTTGATGATAAACCCGACTTTTTTTACATATTCTGATAAAATCTTCGAGACTTTTGTTCACTCTGACGGTGATTAAGTAGACTGAAGTTATAATAGCCTAAGCGTAATTCAATTCTAGGAGTTCAAATTCATAGTCGTAAACAAATTTTCGTACTTATGTCTTTCACATAATCGATTGGACTATAACTGATCACTGAAATGCATGCATATCGATTATTATTATGTTGTTTTTTTCGAAAGTGTATTGCATCTATTTCTGGTTATCCAGCTTTGAAATATCGATAGAAATGCTTTACATAGTCGTTTTATGACCCATATCTATACAACGGTCACTTTTTAAATGGTGTTAGAATTTTTTTTTTAAAATATTTCATTTAGGACAATCCAGATTGTTCTTCACATCAAACAAAATACAAGAGTTTTATTAAAAAGTAGATACCTAGTTTTCTTGACCATTTAAAATGAGTTAAATTATAATGGCGACATATTGTAGAAAGATATATTCATCTATTTATCTACCTATCTACGTATTATCAGTATTTTTTAAGACTACTTATCGGTTTTATCATCCATTATGAATTGCGAGCAGATTTAGATACAGAATTTTTTTAACTCATAAAGAGAGTAATAAAACAAATCTTATTGAATACACTTCATCTTGTTGTGCTAACGAGGTATAGCAACTTGGACCGATGCATAAATGTGCCTGATCCTACGTTGTAGCTGACTGACTGAACTATATGAAAGAATAACTTTTTTCCAAAAAAATCTTACTAAAAATCTCGGAAATTTCACTTTCTAGATGTTAACAACTCATTTACAAGTAACCACATTTAATCTACTTAATTTAAGGATAACGTAATATATTTTTGTTGTTGTTGTTATTCGAACTTACATTCAGGCTGCTGGAGGTTTAACATATGGTCTCGATGTAATGGAATGTGCTCGTAAAGAATGTCAAGAGGAAGCAAGTGTACCGGAGCATATGCTTGGCAAACTAACCCTTGTAAATCAAATCAGGTAAGTTGTATTTATATATTGTAAAAATTAATTTTGAATTAAAATATTATATTTTATTTAGTTTATCGATGGAAATATTTTTTTACTCAAGAAATTAGTAAGATTTCAGTTCTCTTAACTGTTTATGTATTATTTAAAAAAACAGGTGTTTCGGTTATCAGATGGTTTGAGATAGTCGACAGGAAACACTAGACTAGACCTAAGTTTCATTCTAGCTTGTAATCCGCATCAGCAATATGTAATTGTAGTTTTGACGGAACTGATGTTATTTGTAACATTCAAACCTGGATCATGCAGTGTTACGCCAGATACATTACCATAGTTATTCGGGTTACCATTTGTTTCCTATGGGACCGAGTTAGTTGCATTGATCTGCCACGATGTAATGAATAATGTCATGTTCCCCTAATTTTTGCTAAGTGCTGATCGATTGCTATCAATTAAGTTTTTTATTCATAAGAATGGTTATAGATAGATATAGATATATAATCTAAACACAGTAGTAAAACGAGTCGTTGTGTAAAGCTTAACCTTTTTTAGGTTTCTGTTCAGCCTGAAGTGATGTTATGTGCTGAGAGGAGAGCATGAATGTGATGAGCTGCTTATGTTAGAAAAATCTGAAGAAGAAACAAGAGAAAAAGTAGGTCGACGACTCTATGGAAGCCCACAAGAGGATGTACCTACTTTTATTAATGAATGCAGTCGACAAAAGTTTGCAGTAAGGCAAGCGTGAGTTTTAAAAAATCTGATTATTGAAGCTTAAAGCTAGTGGAGTAAGATTTCGATGTTTTAGCGGGTGATCCTAATATAAATTCGAGATAAGTTCTTATTGAAAAATAAATAAATAAAATACTAGAGGTCGCTAAATATTCGTTTATCTTAGTTTAAGATTTCTTGCTTGTACGTGTCTTCTATAATCTACCCTATCCTCATCAATTCTCTATATGTATACATTTTACTAGTTAGGTAGGTAGATAATATATCACTGTATTTTCACATGTTAGTACAGTTAATAAAAAAATCATATATCGACTTATTGTTTCTACCTCTGTCATGGTCATCACTTAGTATTGATAGATACTTTGTTCAATAACTTAATTCATTAACTTTAAATATGAAACATGTCATACAAATTATAAGGATACTGTCAGACTTAACTATAATTCAGACTCTTCACTTAATACATTTGATGAGATCAGCAACATTTATTTCAAACTAACACCAATTCTATCAAGAGGATATAATTATTTCAGGCAGTAAGTTATATACACCGATAAAATGATAATATCTTTAAAGAATTTTAATGATTGATGCTTTCAAAATTAAAGATAGTCACACATGCACGATAAACGTGATCCTGCAGCAATAACCTTAATCTGTCGTAAAGTAGTCGTTGAATTACTTTAATGGTATCACAGATATGTCGATTACGTCATTATCGCCTCATTATCATAATCCTTTCCATTTATTCGGGATCATTTAGTTGATGACTTGAAACAGATCTTTTGCTTTCAAACCCTCGTATTACTTAATCTTCTCTGTTAGCTCTACTACTATTATTGCTCATTACTATCATTGTTATTCTAAGTATCTTATTAGTTTTAAAGTATAAATCTACCCTGGTATTCAATTTTTAAGGTCAAATAACAAACACATTTGTAAAGTCATGTGTATAATTTGTAATAACTTAAAGTAATCTCAGTTAATTTATTAACGTCTTATTAATATATTTATGTATTTGTTTTAATTTGTATTTCCCTTTTGAAGATAACTTAATTTTTTTTGTATATGTACCATTGTAATATGTCATTATGAATAAAGTGAACTAGTCAGCTGATAAATAGTGCATAATTTACCTGTTTCTTTTTAAAAAATGTTTATGGGTTTTTGCCGATTTTCAAGTTACCTGGCCTATGTGCGGGTGTGAGGGGGGGAGTTGCATCTATTTTAATGTTAATCTAACTGATAAAATTTATCGGTCATTGTTGTTAAGTATATAAATAATTAATTTTGTTCACTAATGTGCTGTGTTTTTCTTAAAAAAGCAATCGTAATGTGAACATTTTTAAATGATTGTAATATGTTATAACATAATCTCTTAGTTAAAGTTGCTTATGATAGTCTTTGTATCATTTCAAATCATATTGTTGTGTTATACATATATGATAATTCATAATATTAGTATACTAATATTTACTCTCTTTTATACATCAGAAGGGGTTTTGTGGAGATTTCAGTATTTTCATAGTTGAAATCATGAGCCGGCTCAGTGGTCTATCGGTTAAGTGCTCCGGCGCAAGACTGATAGGTCCTGGGTTTGAATCTCGCGAGTGCGGGACCGTGGATGCGCACTGCTGAGGAGTCACATAATGGAACGAAACGGCCGTCTAGTGCTTCCAGATCTCTCTTTTATACGTTTGAATAATTGGAAAGAATTTCACCACTGACAGTTTCAGTTTCATATACTAAAGTTATTAATTTCATGAACAATTGTAGAGATTCACTAAATTAATAACATCCTTCTTAAAACAGGATAAGTTATGATGATACAGAAATTATTTGATTTAGAAATTCCCAGCCATCAGGATTAAATTCAGTTCGTATTAACGATTATTCCCTACAATAGTACAGATACAGAAGAACATTTCACTCTATTCCGGTTTTCAATATTTATTTAGCTTGTTAAGTAATCCATTTAGAATATGACCAGTAGTAATACTCCAATCAATAAACTTTGAAAATGTTTCAGTAACCTAATTGGTTGACAAATATTCTAGTTGCCATTAATTTTTTTAAATTAATGATAATAATTGGTATTATTATTATTATCGGACTTAATAAACGGTATTATCCTAATTGACAAAACATCTTTTCTACCAATTGGCTAAAAAGTAGTGTTTCGTGGTAATCTTGCGACTGAATCGTTTTAAATCATTGCGCAATACGAATATCATTGACTTTGTTTATTCGTTCCTCTTTCTAGGTCATTCGATTTTTCTGGTATTTTTATTTTATTTTTACTGACCTAAATTTCTAACCTTAAGGATATGATCATATTGACTAATAATTAATCAAAGAAGATCAAGTCTCAAGGTCAGTCAATATATATATATATATATATATATATATAATAGGCTGTACTTAAATTTCGCTCTTATTCCATTGCTATATTAAAAAGAACCTAGTTAGGAGAAACCGATATTTTAAAGCATTACACGGAAGTGTGAGCAATCCGGAAACACATGATACTGTTGTGAGATTGATAACTCAAGCAATAATACTTTTGGGATGTGAAAAGAGTAGGAAAGAGTTTTGTGAATAGTCACAATTTTTTCCCGCATTATGAAACATCTCGCCTACGCCACAACTTATGCAAGTTGGCAAGCGACAGTCGGGCTGTCTGAGTCTATGCCAAGGTTTTGTCAGACACTAGACCACCACGGTTGATGAGACTTCCAAGATAAGTGAGGTGGTCGACGATCTCAACTGCTTCACTCACTATTATTAGTTCAGTCGTTGATTCAGACCAATCTTGAAGCGATAATTTGAATTTGGAGGAAGAATAATCCATCCCAAACACGATAAAGTTGTTGCTTCAGATCACTTTGAATAGCAAGGATGTTACTAATATATATTTTATCTGTAACTATCTTCATTCATCTTTCCTTTATTTCTTACCGTATATTTTACGCTGTGAAAGATTTTTTCTTGCAGGTGTTAATAAATAATTCAAAAAATATGTTATTCCCGATCCGAGTTTCAACTTTGATGTATAAGTCAAGCTTATCAAACTTGTTGACCCGACCGAAGTATATTAATTGGGACACTTTTTACTTTAGATCCTACCTTTCCAGGGAGTTCAAATTGTTTACGTCTTATCTTTTATACCAATATTTTTAGTATTACTAATATCAGTATTACTAATCCCTAAAACGCCTCTCAAGCAAACCTTGCACTTGTAACATTGAAGCGCATTTTCGGCCAGTTTGACGGTAGAACCTTCCACATACTCTTCAACAGTTTTATTCGTCCCCATTTAGTGTACGGAAACATAGTATTTCCTCCCTTCCTCCAAAAGAATAAGGACACTTTGGAACGTATACAACGTCGAGCCACGAAATCAGTTCGGGGACTCAAATTCAAACCTTATGAAGAGCGCCTCAAATCACTTAAACTTTACCCGTTAGAGTACAGGCGTCTTAGAGGTGACCTTCTTATGACTTACAGTATCCTTAATACTTCTGGTCATCCCCTTCAACATCTTCTTAAGCTTATTCATAACAATAACCTAAGAGGTAACACCCAGAAATTGGAGACCTTACATAGCAGAACAGACTACAGACACAACTTCTTTTCCGTTATAGTTGTCAAGTGCTGGAATTCGCTGCCGACTGAGCTAGTCCAAGCGACCTCGCAGGAGTCCTTTAAGAGGAAACTTGACTTATTCTTAAGGACTAAGTATAACATATTATTATGATTTACCAAATTCTTTTTTTCCTCTATTATCGTTCATATACCTAGGTTTTTGCCTGGAGGTATTGGTGATTCACTGCTATTAGACACGGAAGCCCGTTAAGCGAAAGCTTCTTCTATTCCGTCCTCAACCATTTGAACCATTTGAATAGTGTGTTAGCTTAGACCGATGCACAAGTGTGGCAGGTTCTTCGTTGCTTGCGTTACTGATTTTATGTTTCAACTAGTCACACAAATAGAGAGACTTCTTGAACACTACTTGTTACGTCCTTGATATCTGCCTAATAATATACGGTTAACTAGGTTAAGGCCTCTACATGTTAGGCTAACTGGAATTAGCCTTGAGGCTAGAAAATGCTTGAGTCCAACTTAAGACTAATGACCTTGAAAAGAGACGGGAATCATTCTATCACTTGATTGATTGACAAGCGCGCACGAGAGAGAAGACAAGTCAACTGGAACACTACTCGATTTATTCCCGATTGAGACTAATGTAAAAAGATACATGAATAAATAGATGACTAATATGACTACAGCGCACAACCAATTAGAAAAATACAATAATATTCAAACTGGGCATTAAAGTATAAAAATAGAGCACTAAAGGTTACGTTTAAGTTACAACAGCTTTTGAACATAAAAGGGTATGTCATTGAATCATACATCAAACGATAGCTTATGGTTAATAGAATAACCTAGGGTCAAAACTAAATGTTAGTATTTTTACAAACATTGAATTGAGTGAAATAACGTCCCTAAAATAGGTTCCGTTGTTTGTCATGGCTTCTTCGTTTCTCTGTTCACATCATTACTGGATAATAACAAAATTATTGTTCAAAGCTTATCTTCTTAAGTTTGCGTAAATTAGAAAATCGGTATACATGGAAACATTTGTATAACTTGACTTCGAGCCCCATACCTTTTGATGTAATGATAAAACGAATCATATCATCCAGCTAAATAAACCGAAGAAGGATTTAAACGCAAATTTTTATTGTTTAAAATCTAGTGAACATTGTAAATACGGAAATGGTATTTTTATGTATTCATCACAGATTGATCTCATCAACGCACTGCCGAAAACCTGAGAGCACTTAAAATCTGTTTTGTTTTGATATGAAGCCTCTTACCAGTTCTCACTCACAACTTCATGAAAGACCAAAACATGGAGTTTCAAATCTCACAATAAATGCTTAACTATCAAAATCCAACAATAACCAGGTTTAATCCTTTATGAGATCGTGAGTGCACACTGTGAAGTTTCACATTAGTTCGAAACAGTTGTCCAATGCTCTCTGGTTTTCAACGGTATTCCAAGTGACATCGATTCCTCCTGTAACTACTATGTCATAACATTTAGAAGGTTAAAATGTTACTATTTTTCCATATTTCGTTAAATTGACCAATTAATTTTATTAGAACATATCACTAAATTTATTGAACTTATCTTTTTTCATTTGTACAATTTTGTATTTACTTATACTAATTAGATGTAGTAATTTAACAAATCTCATTGATAAAATGATGTTTTTCAGAGGAATTTCACTCCACGTGTTCTAGAAGTTATTAAAAATTCCTTAAAAACGACTGATTTACTTACAAAGCTATGTATTGTCTAAGAATCGTTCACAATGACGTAAATACATTTACTCTCTATCTTGAATTCTGGTACTCCTTCATATATACCTTTCCATTTTATCTTCTAGAACCATATTCCCAAAATTCAATGTTTCTTATTACCATTGCCACTGTATTATTTCAATCACTTTAACTACTTATTTTGTTATTTTCATCTTGTCTTTCTACTATGGTATGGCAAAGTAGAACAATACAGGCTCTATGATCATTATTACTGACTAACTGGACGACTACTTTGGTCATACGTTCGAGCTCTCTTCTGTTTCTGTTCATGAAGCCACTGGATATTTTAGAAAGTTCTTACATATTCAAGTATATTGCATATTTAGTACACAGGACGTATAGAAATTTATGAAGTACAGTAGATAAAATGAATGTAATTCTCTTCAATCTGACTTTTGATGTTTTGTCTTATCGATATCACTGGTAGTGACCTCATTGTTGTGTTACTTTTGTTTGAAATATTGCTAATCACATAATGAAGAGAAATAGTTATAGAAAAATTATTGTTAATCATTACTTATTTTTTTAAATACCTCCGTAGTAATTTCACTAATGCATGATTACTAAGAAGGTTTGATTAGGAATAAAATCAGTAACTTTATTTTCTGTGTCATATTTCACCTGGTTTGTGTCGGAAGTATTGACGCGTCAGTGGTAGTTTGTAACTGTATCATCATATGTGATGTGTCCTTAGTCATGAACTGACAGCATTTGATAACACATTTTCATTAGTATATGTTCCTCAGATGAGTACTTCCAAACATTTAATCTATGTGGCAAGATTTCTGCTAATTTATTGTCGAACACTTGGGTTCTGCTTCTCATTATGTACAATCGATTTTAGGAGCTAGTTGATGTTATTCTTGTATGATACTTTTGGAGTAATTATTAACTTTTCATGTTCAATATGGT